TCCTGAGCATTCGCTTTACGGACTGGACGAGGCGTTCATACACCCCTCCCATCCATGGTGATAGTTGAACGATAAACCGCCATTCAATACCCATAGTGGCAAGTGTCGAAAATACATCCGCATTGGTATTAATGGATTTCCACAATTGCTCCATTGTGACGTCTGCCAATTTAAACTGTTTAGCATTATCAGACACGATTGTAGCCGGTGTACCGCGACGAGCGACGAATCGCTTAAACGCCATTAGAAAGCTGTCAGTAGTCATATCTAGTACAAGCTCTAAGTGTAACGCCCGTGTTGCCAGACAAGTGAACAGTACCACCCAAACTTTCTTGTTTTCTCCATTGGCTTTAACAGTCAGGGGCCCAAAGTAATCAATGCCAGTCCTGACAAATGGTGCGCTGCGGGTTACCCGTTCTTTGGGGAGAGGTGCGAACTTGGGCATTGCAAAGGGGCCACCCTCAAACCGTTTGCATACCTTGCACTGATTAACTACATTCGTGACCTCTTTTCTGCCTCGTGTCACCCAGAAGCGTTTACGTAATTCCACAAGCGTGTGACTAGCGCCAGCGTGGAGAACTCTCTGGTGTACATCAGAGATGATCAATCTCATCAGCGCACTCTTTCCGCAGAGGAGAATCGGGAATTTAGCATTTGATGGCAGTTCTGCATTCTTCATCCTGCCTCTGCACTTGATTAGGCCATCTTCTTCATCAATAAAGAGTCCCAACTTGAACATCAAGTCGCTCTTGGTTTTCTTGTTGTTCTTGATGGCTTCCAGTTCTGCTGAGTAATCAGTGGCTTGCGCATGTTTCAGCCAAAGCATTTCCGCGGTCTGAAGTTCGTCAACCGATAAGTATGGTGATGTCGGACGAGACTTTCTTGCTGAGTTTATGAAACGCTGTACCCATGCTGTAACCCTGATCACTTTCGCGAAGGATGATGATTTCTCAATACGAATACCAGCCGGTGGGGGGTTGCTCGCCTGTTGCTCCGCAGGACCCTCCCCCGACAAAGCGGCGTGAACGACTTCTTCTTGACAAGAATCAGTATCCGGTGCCCATTGCATGTCCGCCAACCACTCGGGTCCTGTCCACCACAGATTACTCTTGAGGAGGGTTGCAGTCGTGGTGCCTCGTGAGAGTTGATCGGCAGGATTGCTTCTTGTGTTCACATAACAGAATTGTACGTCTTCATTGCGGCGGATTTCTGCGACCCTATGTGCTACGAACGTCGGCAGATCCTTGCCCTTCCCTTTCACCCATCCTAGCACACATTGAGAATCTGACCACAAGTACGTAGTGAGCTGAAGAGGGAGTTCTTTCCGTAAGAAGTTGATCATTCGAGCACCTAGCGTGGCTGCGAGTAACTCCAACCTTGGTATTGTGGTTTCCTTTAACGGTGCCACACGAGACTTGGCAAAGAGTAAGCGAACAGACACGTTCGTCGAGATAGTGCGTAGATACGCCACAGCTCCGTAGCCTGCCTTTGATGCGTCACAGAAAACATGGAGCTCATACCTTGGTTCAACGTTGGAGGTGAAACTCGCAAGTCTTGGTATTCTGGTTTGGCTGGCTGTGGATAAGTCATGAGCTATCTCATGCCACTCTGTAAGAATAGCTGCTGGCAAGACATCGTCCCAATTGCACTTCAGTTTCCAGATCTCCTGAAGTAGAACCTTCGCGCGGAATACGATTGGCGAATAGATTCCCAGTGGATCGTAGAACGATGATAACACGCTCAGCATGTGTCGCTTCGTCTGAACGTTTTTGAGTTCAGCTGGGTTTGGAGTGAGCCCTAGCTCATCCAAGTTTGTGTCCCACTCCATACCAAGGACCTTGACGAGTTGAGCGATTGCGCGATCGCTCTCGGGGATCTGCTGCTTGAGGGACTCGGAGTTTGTCGCCCACTCCCGTAGATTCATGGATGCATCAGCGAAGATGCCCTTGACTTCTCGATAGTACTCTACTGCGTCTTCTACGCTTTCCGCTCCGCCGAGGACATTGTCGACGTAAGTGTTATTCTCTACAGCCTGCGATTGCGTGTTCTCTGAAGAACTGATGTGGTGTCGTATGGTGGCACCAAGCAAGAACGGACTTGCGATTACACCAAAGGGGATGCGGCAGAATCTGTAGATGACGATGTTGTCACCTCTGGGAGGCTTGTTGGGGTCTCGAACCCAAAGAAAGCGTGTGACATTGCGGTCACGGACATGTAAGCCGACTTGCAAGAACGCCTTCTCAATATCGCTGCTCATTGCTATGGGATTCAAACGAAAGCGAAGGAGGATGCCGCAAAGGTCTGGCAGCAGCACTGGGCCTCTGTGGATGCACTCGTTAAGTGACTTGTTGCCTTCCTTCGTCTTGGCAGATGCGTCGTACACTACGCGTATCTTCGTTGTCGTGCTGCTCGGCTTGACTACACAGTGGTGTGGTATGTAGTGATGTACGCTGCTCTCTGTGTTGTTGTCAGTGTGACTGCCATTGTTGTTGTCACTGCGTAGTTCGCTGCTAGAGTCGTTGACTTCTTCAATCACACCCATTTCCATTTGTCCCAGTATCGTTTCGTGATACTTCGTGAGTACTTCTGGTGTTTTTTCCATTCTGTGCATGAGAGATTTCAATCTACCTTTGGCCAAATCAAAGTTCTCTGGTAGGCAAGTTTCTGGGTCTAATTTCCATGGCCATGACACTACATAACGACCATTAATGAACTCAACATTTGCATTGAAGTTGTCGTACGCTAGGGTGTCATCTGTGACTCCATTATCTTCATCTATGCCAATCTGCTCTAGCTTCCAGAATTTCTGTAGGTCGAAATCTGGATGTTGTACTTCGCTTTCAACAGACGTGCACATTGCATGGATATCTGGCATTGAATCATGTTGGTCTGCTTTACCCGTCGGGATGAAACCCAGTTTCGTGTCAAGCATTACAATCCCATTTCCCAACTTCAAATGCTCCAGACCCACAAATTCAAAGTACTGGTCGCTCCCAATTAGTATGTCAATCGGAGCCTGGGTGCTTTCAGTGCCAAGGGGCTCAGCTAGTGGCAATTTTGCAATGGCTGGATGTTTCGACAAATCTAACGGAGCCATATTCATTGGACAAGAGATGTGGTCAGTGATATTTGCAGATATCGGTTGGAAGGAGCCATCACGTAATTTGACTTGTAACTCTACCCTGGGGTAAGTGCGAGTAGTTCTGGTCTTGGAACCAAACCCGGCTACTGCCAAAACATCTTGACCAACTGGTTTACTGTGTAGTGAGGTAGTGACATTTCTGTGCACAAATGAACGGGACGACCCAGTGTCGAACAAGATGCGTGCGTTGCAAGTGTGGTCACCATTCTGGATTTCTGCCATTGCTGTTTGCATTAGTACCACATTGCTCTGGGAGTAAACTTCATTTGTTGCATGTACGTCAGCTACAGGCGGCACTAGCTCTGCATTGCAAGATTGAACATTGGTTGGCTTTGCACTTTTGAATTCTCGTGCCTTTGGATCTAGCCTGGATTGTGGATCAAATTTCTTCATGCATAATGACCGGTGATGCCCACGTTTCCCACAATGGTAGCATGTGCGTGCACCAGCTCTGCAATCTGCTGCACTGTGTCCTTTCCTCAGACATACGAAACATTCATTTGTGATTTTCTCTTTCCGTTTCTCATACGTTGGATATGCTGGGCATTCATCCGTGTAGTGTGACCCTCCACAATACCAACATTTCGGGCCTTTGTGCGTGGTCTGATTCATTAGTAAGGAACTGGTGGCCATACCCTCTTGGTTTGTTTCCCTGTGTACCCGCCCATTAGAAGGTGTGAAGTGTACAGATGCCATGTGATCACTTGCTTCAAGGATATCAATTAATGCACCCAAGACCGTAAGTAGTTTGCCCACAGACCAATTATCACCGGTTTTTCTTTTCTCCATATCAATGATTATCGCTTTTGGCAGTTTTGACATCAGTAGCGGTACGATTATCTCTTGCTGGATGTCTGAACCAGCTGATTTCAGACACCGCAAGTGCGCCTCTGCTTCATTTTGGAACTTCCGTAACGCTACTGGTGTGTTCACTGGTGGCTTAATGGCAACAAGCTTGTGATACGTCATGTTGGCAATTACTTGTGGCTTTCCAAATCGCTCTTTTAGGAGCCCTAATGCTGCTGCATAATTCTTGCCCGTTAAGGTAATGCCCGTTATGGTATCTAGTGCTGCATCGCTCAGGTGATTTCTCAAGTACACTAATTTTTCCACATTGGACAGCTTGGTATTATTGTGAATAGTGGATTCAAACATGTCAATGAATTCTGGGTACTGCAACACATTGCCATTGAACACAGGTATTTTTAGGACAGGAAGCTTCGTTGAACTTGATACTGTGACTGGAGTGCCATTGGCGGCACCTTGTTCTGAGACAAACTGGTTTAATAGCTTCGCTGTTTCTGCCTGTGTTTTCGTGTTGGCTTCCATGACCTTCGTCAGATCTATGATCTCCACTGGGGATGCTGTTTTACACTGTGCTGACTTTCCTCGTAACTGTGCCAATAGATCATTGCATTCCGTAATTAATTCCACAACCACATCGACATACTGCTCATCGTATTTCTTTTTCTCTTTATCACCCTTTTTTGTAGCCTCAAAGTCGTATACCACATTAGCAAACAGGTCGAACAATTCCTCGCCTTTCTTTATCGTAGAAGCAAATACAGTAATCAGACTACTTATCTCGTCCGGAGTTGGAGTGCCAGACAGCAACGTGTTGGCCTCAGCGGAGCGCTGCTTCAAGAACTTCACGTGGGCCTGCAGCACCTTCCGTTTCGTCTTCGCCTGGGCGTTGATGGAGTCTGGTTCTGCCATATCTGCTCTCGGTCTCACACCATATCCGGCATCAGTATTGGTTTCGGCACCAAAAATGTCGCCGTGCGACTACTACTGTGACCCTGATCTAACAATACTCATGCCAGTTGCACTACAAACAATCCACTCATGACATCTTGCTCTAAAAAGGCGAGCTGCCTGCAAACTTGGATTCACACAAGAGCCATAAGAACACGAGGTCAATCTTGGTGATCATAAAAAGGAGAGGCTGATTAGGAACGCGCATGCCTAATTTATACGGGTCAAGATCGCGCATGCCTAATATGCGCGCGTACCATACTGCGCATGCCTATAGCCATTCAGAATATGGAAGGAGCGCGGCAAGGTCAGAAAAAGTAGGCTCTAGCACTACAAATTTATGTCTAAGTGATAATTATGGAAATTACGATCGCGTTCGCGACAAAGGTTTGAATAATGATTCCTTGAAAAGACCAACTCAAATGAATAATATGGGAATGAGAGAACTTCAAGTCCATAGTTTACAGTCAGGCACTTCACTTCCCAAGTTGTTTGTAAAACGTTATTTCTGATGAAGTTTCCATGCAATAAAGTCTATTTTCAGTGATCATCATTTCCTTCCATATCACATTTGCTTGTCTTTCCACCTTTGTATCCAGTTGTTTTGAAATCAATAAATCTTCAGTGCCAGGTCGGTTGAGCTCGTTCAATAGTTCTGCAGTAACTGCTGTAGTTTCTGTGGATGGACATTGTTCATATTTTCTTTTAGACAAGTAGGATGATTACCTGTTTGACTTCTTTGTATACTTGCTTGGGTTGCTGGACAGAACAAACACACATGTGCAGAAATCATGTTGTAAATATACCTTGAGTCTAGGCGATTAAGTATCTGTACGACTGTTCATGTGAACACACCTACCTCCATACATACACACTCACAAACATACACAATACACACACACACACACACACGGATTGTCCTTGTACTTGCTCACTGGGCACGTCGGTTGGTCTGCCGGGAGAGGGGAGAACGATTCAAAAGAGATCTAGGATGGATGACTCAATTGCCTATTGAACCGCCCGACACCCCATGAAATCACCAAAACGCTGGGTGGACTTGGAAATGACCCCAATTATGGGCTCATCACACCTCAGTAAGTGGTCAACTAGTATAACACTGCTTGGCGGCAGAGTTGTTGGAATAACCTGACTCCAGAGTATAGCATGGCATGAATCAGCTAGCCTACATCCTTTCAGCAGAGCGGGCATGCAAGACATACACGGCATACTGTGATTTAACGGTATACTTTCTATTTCCGGGGTACTGTAAAAGCCATTATTCTAACGAGGCGCATATACAGTGCGTATCGGTTATAGCGTGGTCGTGTAAAAGAATACACTGCCTACAAGAATGAACTCTTATGTTTTCATAATCATAACATGGATTTCAAGTACAAATTTATTCTTACAAGCAATTTTATCGTACAGTAGAATATATCGGTCCTAAGAATGGACTTTGTGTAGCAAAATATACCAGATTAGTACAAAGTATATTGCCTGCAGTAATAACATCCGTCCAATGCAGTTCCGATCTGACTCGCGTTGGGTTGTAGTGCTGCAGGTTCAACTGTTGTGGCCATGTAACTCATGTTGCATAATTATAATAGCCACATGGTAAGCCTACATGTATGTGAGTGTGACCAGCGGCATGCACAGTAACACTACATTGCATGTACGATGATCTTCCTGCCTCTGCGTACATGCACATGATATGTCACACTTGATTTTAATATCGTGTGCAAGAAATATCGGAAATAAGAATAGAAAGTCGTTTTTCAAACACCCACGCTATACCCGATACCTACTGTATAACGATTTCCTAAAATTGACTGGTTTACGTGTACCAAAGGTAACGACTCTCACTCATTCTCAACGCTCAATAGCAACAGTATAATTATGTATCGATTTCTGCATAACGATTTCTATTTTAACGACAGATTTCTCCTCATTAATTCGTTAGAATTAGCACTTCGTTATATATACCGGTATGGCTTTTACAGTACTTTCATTTTCGGCACTTTCAGTGCATCTCTGTGATACCTAAAATTTAAACAGCCGCACAATCAGTGACACACGTCATCCCACTTGGAACTGCTTCTCTGTACCTAAAATTTAAACAGCCGCACAATCACAAACACACATCATTGAGTAGGGAACTGCTTCTCTGTATCTAAAATTCTGTTTATCTAACCTGGTGGTTTTTTTCCCTCAGACCTAAAATTTTGAGCACCTAAAATTCTGAAATTGGAGTGTACATTTGTACGTAGACGTGTGAGCAGTGTTCACATAAGGTGCCATGAGCATTTTCAAACTCACCGCATGAAGTCGATAACGAAAACCGACCCGAACGATACGAACCCAACAACGACAGCTGCAGCCGCCAGGCCAATGTAGAGCAACGTCATGCGGTGGGAATCTGAGGCAGAGTGCGGCGGCGATGACGATGACGTGGGTATAGCTGTGGGAAGTACTGCAGTGGTCAACGTTATCAGATTGGTGACCGCATGTGTAAGCACATACAGAAGTGACACCGGAACACTAATGTATCAACCATCATCTCAAGCACGCACACACATACATACACACATACATACATACATGCACACACACACACACACACACACACACGCACACACATACACACACACATACACACACATACACACACACACACATGCACAGACACACACAGACACACAGACACACAGACACACACACACACACACCCTGTGGACAAAATGGAACAAATTACTAGTCACAGTACGTACAGGCCCGCCGGAACCAGTGCGGTTGTTCAGGTTATCACCGGCCACCAACATTGTAGCCATCAACACAATAGTCATGTTTACTTCTATGGAGGCCATGTGTACCCGCCATTTCATACAAACAGTATGAAAGACACTGAAACTACCGGACCAATCAAGAACTGCTTCCGGCGGTCCTGACTTAGACCGCATACGGTATTTTAAGAATAATGCTCCCTGGATATTTGTTTGTTAGCGACGTGAAATGTTATCAAATGTTGGCTGTCGAAAACAGAAAACAGCTGTACATATTTATAGCGGGGCTTTCAATATTTCAATCCATACCAAATCTCTAAAACGTTCATATTCATAGCAACTCGGGCCCCGGGTTAGTTCGCACACACTGCGTTGACCTGGACAAGTATCGGCATGTGCATGCATGTCCATACCCGACTATGTTTTGTACGCCACTGACCTTACCATACATTGCACTACTTAGTCACTCGATACTTTGCGAATAGTAGCAGACCGCGCTTCTATTCAAGAGGGGCTTGTATTTCAAACAGTCATTGCCAAAGGGAGGGGGTTAGCTGACAGGGGCTTGGAAACCCGGTGAGTCGGTGTGGTGGTATGTTGTTCTGTGCAACAGGCTCTGCCTCCACGGTATTGAGTACTCTGAGCACACTGGATGCATCTTCGGGGGGGGGGGGGGGGACGGTATGGGGTATCGGGATATAGGGGGGGGGAGGTATGGGGTATGGGGGGGGGGGAGAGATGGAGCAATACTGTGTTGGTGGCAGAAGCCATCCCTGTGTTTATGTCTATGGGGATTGGGCTATGGAAACATCATGCCGCCTTCAGCCAACATACAATGTAGGCCAATGTCTGAATGATTGTCCTGAAAAGGAAGGAAACTCGTAAGGAGTCACTCCTTGGCATACTAACCTGGTATAAAATATCCGGCTTGCAAGTGTTGGGTTTCAGAGAGAAGAAGAACAGAAGGGAAGACGGCCTAATTCCCTAACGCACTAGAGTATTCACCACCGAATTATGTTTGCTGGGTAATACAAAAACACAAACCAAGACATTTCCTAACGCTCCCCCCCCCCCCCCCCCCCATACACACACAACCCCTTTCATTTTCGACAACCAATTAGCACGCACCTTCAGTATCCACACAGAGAGGGCACTTGAGCAGCATGTCACCATCTTTCCAGGAATGGTAACCAAGGCGACCGAACCGGCGGGAAGGAGGTTGACAGTCCAGCTGGCAAAACGTTGCGTTAAGATAGATAATCCTGGCTCGTCTGCAAGATGTAAGGCACGGCATTGCCGGCGTGCTGGGTGTAACTGTGACGACCGGCTGATGCCGCCGCACACAGCTGGGCGGTGTGGATGGTTGAAAGGTTCCACCGCTGGTGCACAGCAGGTCCGCGGGACCCACCAGTAGCATACTGGGTGCTGCACACAAATAGGAGACCTTGACGAGACGCGCCGCGCCATTCACATTCACATACATAGGTAGATAGTGCATGCCAGCCGGCGTTGGCGGAAGTTGCGTCACGTCGCACTTGGGAGCTGGGGATTTAAGCAGTAACCACACGTACATGAAGATTATCACAGACTGCTCCCAGCCAGCATGCATGAATAATACTGAATGAGTCGGGAGTATTCGATTTCTAAGACTACAAGCTTTCGTATGAATACCGGGACAGTAGGCACCGAAAATATCAGACTAGCGACTACCTACCACATGTACAATGGCGTATTCTGTCCTATTTTCTTCCCTGGTTAAAAAAAGGGCAGAAAAAAGGGCAGAAAAAAGGGCAGAAAAAAGGGCAGAAAAAAGGGCAGAAAAAAGGGCAGAAAATAGGGCAGAAAATAGGGCAGAAAAAAGGGCAGAAAAAAGGGCAGAAAATAGGGCAGAAAAAAGGGCAGAAAAAAGGGCAGAAAATAGGGCAGAAAAAAGGGCAGAAAAAAGGGCAGAAAATAGGGCAGAAAGTGTGCTTAAAAGTAGAATGTTATACCACCAATCGAAGGACATCAAGCACATCGAGATTACTTTCAAAGATCATACAGTCTTCTCCCTGCGTAATTTTCCCCTCCTGAATAAACACCTGCTTGCCAGCAACAACTGAAACTACAGCCACGCTTCCAAATAAATGGCCTGGAAACTGCATTACATGTAGCACAAACTTAGATGGCGAGCCGAGAAAGATTTAATGGAAACACAGAACAGTGGGGCACAAGTTATGCGTTAAAGTCAACCGACTAGACCAGATCTTGAACAGTCAGACTTGCACCATTTAGTCCAAAGCCGACGAGGAGTACTGAGACAATCCATGGCATGACTGAATGAGCCCCCCCTCCCCACCACTACCAGATTTAGTGTGGGAATACAGCAATCAGTGCACTTGCCTGTAAGAGTAATGATGACGGAGACGGTGCTACTTGCATTGGTTACAGCCGTGAAGTAGACTGGCTGACCGGTGCTGCCCAGGTCTTTACCGGAGATGTTTCTCTTGCTAGTCATGCCAAGGCCATTGTCTGTGACGCTGATGTCGAGTCTCACAGGCGTTCCTATCTGCACGTCAGTATCATACGATGGTAACTTCCATTGTATCTTCAACATGTGGCCTTCAACAGAGAGCAGAATAGCTTCAAGTGGTAGAGAATGGTTGCTCTGCTTGCTGATGGTTGCTGCAAGAATACCATTGGCCGGCGGAAAGACGTCGAAATTGAACTCCGTTCCCGTGAAGATGATGTCGGCTAGAGAAGTAGAGACGGACGTGGCAGTGATGATCTCAGGCGGACGCCGCACCTGTATGTAGCAGATAAACGTGTCGGGAAAGCGGCTCTGGCTGGTTGGAATCAAGCCAAACACATCTGTATCGAGACCGAGCGGTAGCTGCATTGGCCTTCTGGGCTTGATAACAACATACACGAGATTTCCACGTTGCACCAGTGCCGGATAGTAGTCGGGGTTGCTGGTGTTTGGAGCGCTTTCACTTCCGCTGAGTCGTCCAGTGAGGTTGAATGTTGCTATCACTGTGTTCACTCCAATGTTAGAAGTCACCAGCGACTGTGCGTAGTGGGACTTGATGCCTGCACACAACAGTGCAACAACGCACATTCCCCATTAGCTGCTATGAGCATGACAGTGAAACAGAGTACTAACACTGATGTACGGGCATTTCGGATGATGTTATGTGTAAAATGTACACCCCTTTGTTCACAGCCTGGCCACAATCTGAAAGGCAGACTGTGCAGCTGAAACTAGAATGCTGAAAGGAACAGCAGAGAAGTACATGATTGTACTCTCATCTGCATATGTTTCCAAGCATGATCAGGGCTCGCCAGAAGCTCGGGGAATGGAACCGAATCTTCTCGGAACGGTTAATATCATGTATGACATGGCACTCTACTTCAATCCACCGAACACAGCCAAGCCAGGAAGACCTCTGACTACTTTAGTCACCCAGATCCAGCAAGACTGCGTCCACAGACAAACGCCACTCAAGAGGAGCCCGCATCTGCAGAGCCTCCGGCAGAAGGCATCCGACAGGCAAGTGTGGAAGGCCTTCGTAAAAAACGCACAGTGAACACTGACGAAACAGAAGTTGCCCATCCTTCTCAGTGCTATTTGCTTATTGTCGATTTGTAAACCGTACCTTGCAGTCCATGTCTTCCCTTGTCATCATCATAATAGTATAGTTTTGTCTCTCTCCTTCTATTGCTCAGGAACACAGAGGCGGAAAGAGGCTGGTCCTCAAGTACGCGAAACTGTTCATAATGATAATGACGGGCATGGTATATTATTTGTGAGCTTGTATGCAACAAAGTAATTGCCATTACGGACACAAGTTTTTGGAATGCTTAATTTTTGGGAACTTGTAGAAGGAACTTGAATGTTCATGCTTTCCGGACTGTGCCCTTTCTCCATCTGCTTCGAAGAAGTAATAACCTTGCATGAGGACCAGTGGAGCTATTCAGGAGGGCAACCTGCCAAAGGTGTCTGCTTTGGTTTTTAATAGTCTTGAGTCTCTTGTCTTGGGTCAATTAAGTTGTTCAGAAAGTTCTGCCATCTGAAGGTTCCTATTGGTACAGTTGGGATTCCAAGTAAAAATACATGTGCCAGTAATGGTGGCATATCCCCTGATGCCACCTTTAAAAGTTGCTGTATTTGCTGCTGGATTATTCCGGGTGGTGGTGGTGGTGGTGGTGGCCGTCGTGAGGTACTTTGGGAATGGAAAACTTTTGAAAAACAGTACACTGCTCCGTGCCACTCTAGCCATGTACCTTCGCACTGACGGATAACACAGAGAATCTAACGTGAGACATTGCGCAACTAATGCTACTCACCACTGCAAAGGGTAGGCCCCATCACAGTCAGCATGGCTAGTGTGATTGCGATGTTCAGCGCACACCATGTTATGCATCGTTCACGAGCCACTCCAGGTCTTAATCTGATTCGTCTTGAAGGTGATTGGCTCCTTTTTGGTGTCATCATCAACTGCTGGCACTAGGTCTGTGCGGATGTTGCTAGAAAATTGGCAGAATCTGCTAGAAAAGCAGAGAAATTGGCAGGATCATACAAAGCTTACGGTGGGGAATTCCACGAAATTCTGCTATTATGATCTATTCAAGTATTGTTTGTTTGTGTGTGTGTGTGTGTGTGTGTGTGTGTGTGTGTGTGTGTGTGTGTGTGTGTGTATGTGTGTGTGTATGTGTGTGCGTGTGTGTATGTGCGTGTGTGTGTATGTGTGTGTGTGGCTAAAAATTCGTGGCGGTCAATCCATCAGCCTTGCAAGCTGTTGAATGGTGTAATCCCAGCACAAGTTGCTATGTCTAACATAGCTGTTCGCTATCATCGCTTCCGCGATGGGCAGGTCTGAGGTCTGAGGTGTGCGTGCGTGTGCATGTGTGTGTATGTGCGTGTGTGTGTGCGCGTGCGCGCATGTGTGTGTGGTGTGTGTGTGTTGTATGTGTGTATGTGTGTGTGTGGTGTGTGTGTTGTGCGTGGGTATGTGTGTGTGTGTGTGTGTCTGTGTGTACATACACTGCGCTTGGAGGCACAGACTACGGAGTGCATTGTATACCTCAGAAGACTGAAAGCTCTTCAGTGCGAATTCAGTGGGGAGGGGGGCCGGGGGCATGGAACCTGCTAAATTGTCAATGTACTCCTGAAAAATCGAATCTTCATGCTTGCACAAAAGCCTGTGGACTAAAGCACAGTTCTTTTCAAACCCTTTTATGTCCTTTATGGAATACTAGTTATCAGGCATCTTCTTATGTATGCACGGGGTATTCATCGTCTATCAGGCACTTCTAAGTTCTGGCATGAAAGACACATTCTTGAATGTGCAAGTTATGTATTTCGGAATCTGTTCGTATCAATGTGTCCAGGAAAGAACATATTTTCAATTATTTTGGTCCAGCAAGCAACTATAATTATACCGGTAGAGGCCATATCCGCCCATTGTTGTTGCGTCACTGATTTGCCACAGAGCATTGGCCTTCTTGACACAAAGCGACAGGAGAGCACTATACTACACTGTAGTAGCATGCATGAACAATAGCGAAATAGACGGAAATAGCCATCGAGTGCGTAAATACTAAATACCAGACAGCATACATCAAAATTTCAAAACATGATTGATGTACAGTAATTGTGTCAGATGTGAATAGTATGCGCTTTTCGCCGTTACACTCACGTGCATGCGAGAGTATTGGTGATTGAAAAGACCAGAAATAGTCGCTGGGTGAGGAACTTCACCAGCCTTGATGATTTCAGGCCATCGCTGCGCTTCCTCTCGCTGCTGCTTGGAGAGCGAATACCGCAATGGATCCAGCTTTGGAAATTCTCAGATCCTGAAGAGATACTTCGAGTAGTTGCTGCAAATCCTCATAATTATTATGCATTGTCATGCGCCCAGCACCACTACAATGAGTAGACATCGACATCAGCAAGAGTAGGCTTTATCCCTGCTACATGCAGCGTAGAGACGTCAAGACTATCGCAGAGGCTCGAGGCGCACCTCTCGCCGCAATCGTTAGATCGTTCTCCATACTTTCCTACCCAACAACATTTTCAGCGTGATCTCACACTGCACATGTGCCGCGCGCCGCGCGCAGCTGTCTTCAGTTTTTAGAAAAACAAAAAAATGTCCAAAAGTTTTCCGACGGACCACGTGCATGCACATACCGATCCCGATAGAGTCTGTTTTTGACTTTTGAGGGGTTGCCGACCCTCAGACAAGCTCATTTTGCTAGTACAGTAGGCCTACTACCACGACTACAGTCCATTCCCTATAACTGTGCACTGTTATTACATGCTCCCATCATACGACTGTGTACAAATACAAGGCAATTTTTTCTGAGTGAGTGCACGCTTGCTTGCTGCTCCTTTTAAAAGAAACCGGATCAAAATCTGTCCAAATTTGAGAGAGAAAATGGAAAATTGATTTTTTTAGCTCGCTTTGCTGCCTGATTTCCGTGCATTTTCTTGCGCCGCTGCTTTGTCTTTGAATAGGGATTTCAGGCGGTTTTTTCTGAGCAGCGCTTTGCTCCAACTAACAAGTTTTTCTGAAGCATCTATGTGTAAGGACTGTCCACAGAAAATTTGAACGGAATCCAAGCAGTATTTCCAAAGTTATGAGCATTCAAACATAGCGCACCAACCTTGATGAACACACATACAAATTGGATCTGCAGGATGGCACAAAATGGAATTCCCATACTCCCTAGCAACACCATAGCAACAAATAAACTTCATCCGATCGTGGCCAAACTTGGATCAAGGATGGCCCTGGCTGTGACGGAACGGAAGATAAAAGTTTTTTTTCAATATTCCAAATGACCGCAACAATGGCGTCCTTAGCAACGGCCCTAGCAACAGTATATTTCACGCATAATGCAACATGGTAATAGGTGGAATATGACAGAAATACGGCAAACACCACATTTAAGTTATATAGTATGCATGTGGGAAACTAGAGGAGCAGACAGCAAGCTCTGATGTCACACAGTGCCCGTTTTCGGCTGCAACGAGTCAGAGACGCGCATTAGCCGCACAACGACCATTCTAGAGGCTATTGAGTATTGTACACAGAAGCCAGCCAGCGGTGAGTATTTATAAGAGATAAGTTCAGTAAAAAACCAGCCTGGAACAACCACGCACCTGTATGACACATGGAAGATCAAGTCTGGTGCCACACACAGGGTCAAGACCTGCTATGCCGGATGCGGGCTCCAAAGCGCCATCATTTGCTGCGCCGGCATCAACATCAACTGTTGCTTCAGCACTGACATCAACGGCTGGTCCAGCATGGACATGAACTGTTGCAAATATCCACACCTCAGCACGTACGACTGCTCAGGTGTGGAAATTTGATAACACTGATATAATTTTCCAAACTTTTACAATTCATGCAATTTGCAATCCCTGCTGCCCACAATTTTCCTTGCAGTTCAATGTTTCTTTCTTGGACAAGAATCAGACACAATATACGATTTTTCGTTCAGTGTGTGGTTATCTGCTTTACAATTTGATTGAGAAGCAGTCTAAAGGATGACTTAGTAATTCACTGAGGTCGTCACTTGCCTTGTTCTTCAGCAATTTTTTTCTCCACTCTCTGATACGCCCGATTTTGTTCCTGGCAATTTTCACATCGTCTCGAAATCCTTTCCATCCACGACTGCAACTAGCAAAATCAAATTATGCTAACTAAAAACTTACTTGGTATCATTTTTGCTTCTCGCCCTCAACGAGAGTTCAACTACTACTAGGCCATTCCTCAACTGCCTGGGACAACACCATGAACACAGAGAAAGACGGAAGTCAATCGTCTTTCTTCTCCACCTCCATACTGTGTCATGGCGTTCAACTTCAAAACAATTTCCGCGACCGAGCGCGACCCTTCAATGCTTCATGCCATCTGAAGGAACCTACTTAGACTAAATCGATGCCGTAGAATCTGATTCTGACTGCCGCTTGAGCGTGGAACCAAGGCAAACACCTCAAAAGCGACTTTGAAATCTACAAGAATCTCTCGAGATGCGTAATATCGGCACGAATTCGCCGTGTGAGCCACCAAACGAAAGCTTGAAACCTACTCTTCAACGGTGCGCCAATAAAAATGGCGATAAACTCACTCTCCCTACCTAAAATCTACGCCGAAGATCCCACGCTGAGCTGTGCCATGCCAGCTGCCTGGCATTCAAAAAGCATGCATGCGTGTCAAGGTACTTTTGCCCCCGCAGATCACGTGACTGAAATCCCTACTTTGAAGAAGTCATGAACCTTATTGATCATCTCAACGCATCCACGTTATACGTGGGGTATTCCCATGTCAGGCTGGCGCTGGCCTACATGTAGAATCCATGGGGCATACACATGGCGCCATGGCCCTTTGACTGGATGGAAAAGCGTGCACACTTATATTGGCCCTTTGACTGGAAAAGAGTGCACACATATGGAATGGACTGTAGCACACTACGCATGGAGGTCGACCAGAAAAAGTACCAGAATCTGACAGTTTTCTGGGACCAATTTTATCAGTCAAGATTTGGCACTCAGGTTACGAGGGGACGGTCAGAAAATTTCCGGCCGGACCCACAAACTCGAATAACAGTAGCTAGCATGCATCGCCGTTTTCTTCCTTTTATTTGTCACCCCTCTCATGCACTTCTCCCTGAGCGATGCTCCAGTTTCATCAATCCGCGAATGTAAACGTATAGTCTGTTTCAAAAAGATTTACAATCAGGTTTGGGTCTTAAAAAGTATGAAGATAAGGGAAATTTGGACAACAAAGTACATAGAATGGCTTGTTAGGACACGGCAAATTGTTCTGTGAAGGTTTCGGAACAATTGGATCAGCCGTTAAGGAGTTAGAATTTCGGCCAGGTTTCCGGCCTTTTCCCATGGTTTACAATTTGCCCAGGAAGCCAGTATCGATTTTTTATCAAAACCCACGATTTATCCTTTCCTTTTTGGCCTTGTGGTTATGAATGCTGTCTGCTGATCATGAAGTTGTGAGTTCGAATCCCAATCTATCCTCAAGTCAAACTTTTTTTCTTCATTGTTTTGGTGATCAAGCTGGTACTAAAAGAAGATGGCTGCACCAAACGACTTGTTGTTGTTGTTGGAGCTCGCGCTTCCTGCCGAACTGACTGACACTTGACTGGCTCACGCCATGTGAACACACCCACAACACTGCAATGGTGTGAGTGAATATGGAAGTCATCGCGCTGTAGCTTTTTGAGATTTATTCTAGTATTTCAAGATCGCCAATTTATTTGAATTTAGCAGTCAACGCCGTCTTCTATCAGCGTTCACAAGCGTCTACTTTCTCAAATGTCGTCGAAGTCACACGGATAGCTTTGCCAAGTCATGGCCTTGGGAATGAGTCCGTGTCGATGTCGTTTTCGTCACACGGTGAGTAAATTGCATCGCAGCTCAAAGAAACTATTTTGGTCACAAAACGAATTGGGACCCATGCCGCTCGTCAACATTTACTACACTTTCGTTTCGACATGTCCTCTCTGACTCCATTATCGATACGAGGAAGAACTCGTTTGTTGTAAACCAGACGACAGACGTACATGACTGTATCAACGTGAGTGAGTTGTCATTTTTCCTGCTTTCGCGCGGAATATTTCTTCGAGTTCACAGTGAGTTTTTCCAGGCAGCGCTCGAGTGCTCATACGGTAAGACGCCAAACTCCGCGGGCGATCGCCAGGATTGCAAATCTTTTTGAAACGGACTGTAGAAGGTTTCATCTTGCTTGCCCAAAACGTCGTCGACATCTGCTATGACTTCATCCGCGAAAATGTCGCCCTCATGGTGATTCTGTCATGGAAGGGAAGAGAAAGAAAAGAAGTCTGCAGAGGCCCAATCAGGAAAGTAGAGCGGATGGGGAAGGAGTTGGCACTTGGAAGCCACATGTTCTCGCTACAGCCACAGCAATATGGGACGTGTGGGCTGGTGCATCATCGTCTTGGAAATGCAGAATGTCCTTCGACAGCTTCCCATGGCGTCTGACGGTCAGTTCCGATGATCCCGGAGTCCGGAGCTCCTTGGCTTTTTAGCATGATATTGTCCATTGCGGATCGTCCTGCCTGTCTTCAAGACATCCAGCATGACAACACCAAGGCAAGTCAGCATGACCTTCCCGGCAACTTGATGCTCGAGCTTTGAACTTTTTGGAGTGGGTGAGCTCGCAATTTCCCTGCATGCTTTCAACGGGTTTGATTTAAATAATCCAATCGGTGGACCCATATTTCGTCCTGAGACACTAGTTGCCCAAGAAAACTACCTGGAGACTCCTGAAACTGCTGCAGGAGCTCTGCGCGGCAATCCACACGCCGGCGCTTCTGCTCTGCTGTGAGCATTCTCGGAAACCAACGGCAAGATACTTTGTTCAAGCCAAGCTTCTCCGTAATGCTGGCTACTGATCCAAAGGCGGTCTTACGTTTTTGTACGGTCCTTCATGATCATTATTTTGAAAGCACTTTGTCGGATATTTCTTCGTCTGTTTCTCGTCAAGGTCTCCCTGACCGTTCAGTATCATTTGTGCCGACTCTCACTCTCCTGCAGTCACAACACCACTGCTTTACAGCTGAATGTGATGGGGTAGGGTCTCCACCATACTTGCACGGAGGTTTTTGGGCTTAGCGTCTTCAAGAACAGGTGCTTGGCGACTGCTTTGATCACTTTATTGTGCGTCTCCATTTCTGCAGAAACTAGAATTGGACACAGAGACAGAGTCCAATTTACTTTTTGGTCTCTTTCTAATCTCCCCCCCCCCCCCCCCCCCCACACACACACACATATATCACACCACATACACTGTACACCGGCATGCGCTGGCTGTTGGTATCCACCACCCAGGAGAATGAAATAGAGTCAGGAGGAGTCTGAGAAAGAGAAGAAAGACGTGTGTCGGTGTGTGATAGGCTCCGGCGGATCACGCTTGCGAAATCATGGAATTATGCCTTCATGGATGCTCGCATTATGGTCGCAAA